TTTTTAAATTAATGAATAAAATGAATGTCTATTATGCCTGATCATGAAGCCATCTGGAGTTTGCATGTTTGAAAAATCTTTCATTTCTGAATAAAATAAATTCAATATTGTCTTTTTCAAAAATTTAAAAATTTTTCATTTCGAAAACACTGGTCATCTTCACACTTTGATTATACGGACAGATTTAACAAAGACATTCAGGACATCCATTGGACAAACCATCCCGTCAATTAAACCAAAGTTAACACTAAGTTTAGAACGGCTTATCTCTGACAAACAGACATTAATTGTTTCCCAATATTTAACAATATAAACCTTAAATAATTTATCTCAAATGTGTTGATTACATTATATATATATATATATATATATATATATATATATATATATATATATACTAGCAGCATGGCCCGGCGTTGCCCGTGCTTGATTCAAAAATCGTACGACTCATACAGCAATCGCTATCACTTGACTTAAAATATTTTTGCCCTTCCTTGCCTTTAAAGGAGTGCCCTTTGCCGTGCTGATGTTGCTACATGCCTTACTTCTTGCCTATCTCACACTGCGAATTTTTTCTAAGCTCTATACTAAACATTAAATCTGTTACGAAAAAGAACTAAACAAAATGAACACAAAACGATCAGCTTTAAAAAAGGACTCGTAACTGGAAAAACCGAATGAAAAAAGAATGTTAACAACAAATACTTTTTCACACCCAACCCAGTTCTGCGGAATCAGAATCAACGTTGAGTTTAAGCAAGCGAATGAGCCAATTGGAGTAAAGTGCCATGCAGATTTAAATTTTTCCCACTTGTGACGAATGCAGCTATCGATTTTTTTTGCATGCTAGCATGCTAGTTAACATTCGTGTCAGTCAGCTGTTGGCTCTCACGCTGGCCAATAGAATCTTCCTGCCTATTCGTGGCAGCCAGCTATAGGCTCTCACTCTGGCCAGTACAAAATGGCCGCAAACTACATGAAAACTGCCGTAGAAGCATGAAAAAATCGATTATTTCCACTATCGATGGGAGTTGGGAAATGCAAAGTCGGTCTTGGCCTTCCCGCTAACTTGAAGCATGTGCATGTAAATTTTGGTGCAAATCCGTCGAAAATTGCGGCCGTGCATTCGTTACACACACACACACACACACACACGCACACACACACACACACACACACACACACACACATCCTGCCTTTTATAGATAGAGATAAATAAACGGCAAATTCTGTCTGTTCGTCCGTGTGTTTTTACCATCTAACCTTTTGATGCAACAAAAATCTAAACAGTAGACACGGTATACTTTTTTTGAATCAGGATGACCCTAAAACTGAACATCAGCTCTTCATCTAGTGTTTGAATATACAGCATTGGGCTTTGTGTCCGGATGATGAGGGAAGAGATAAAAATTTAAATTTTAAAATGGCTGAAAAAAATTAATCTTAAAGTTTTTTTTAATTTACATTGAGTTTAAAGTGACAGAAAAAACTGCGAATTTAATTTTTTTGTTTTAAATTCACTTTAAAATATCTCTAAAATTTCGTGAATTGAGGAAGTCCATTCTATTTCTTCAAAATTCCATGAAATCAGAGTTAAAGTGAGAAGTTTCGTGAGGTGAGATTTTGAAGTTTCACAGATTTTGATATTTGAAGAACACAATTTTCGGCTTGAATTGGAATTTCAGTCCAAATCGTAGTTTCGGTCCAAATCGATCTTTTCGGCGCCATTTGGAGTTATATATGGCATAATTAATTAAAGTTTTAATTGGTCAAATTTCCATCAAATGAATTGAAGAATTCAAAGTTATTTCTTCAAAATTATCATTGCTCTTTTCAAGGCCGGACCAGAGGTCTCTTTAGTTTGGAACCGGAATTAGTTTAAACGTCTGCACAGGGTGCGGCTTTTAAGCTAGTAACTGAATAAAATGTAATTGTGTTTCATTATTATTTTTAAGAATAAAGTTGATAAAAGAATGGAGATAATTTAAGACTCAATCTGATATTTTGTTGAAAGTTGAATCTGTAAAATTTGTCAGATCAAATTCATAGTTGCAAGGTAAAGGAATATGCCGATAAAAGCATAATAAAAAACATGTGAAAACCAATAAAAAAAAGCATTTTTTTACCATTTAAATCAACCGGAATCCTTGAGGTTAAAGCTCCAAGGCCAAACGCTAATCCAGGTCCCAAAAGTTGTGCGGTAAAGATTATCCCTGGAAATTGAAAAGACAGAAATATTATTTAAATATAGTCTATAGATCGAATTTTAATATAATAGCAATAGAATTTAATTTTGTGTAAATTTAATTCCATTGTCACTATATTGATTAGCTTAAAACATGATCTATTCGGATTTCACTAAAATGGCCTTTCAGCCATTAATCCAAGCGATAAAATACAATTAATTGTATTGACAAAGAAGGATATAATGTTGAAAAAATAATTTTGTTTTGTAAAATAATTTTTTTTTCACTCCAAAAGTTGTGTAGTAAAGATTATCCCTGGAAATAGCAAAGACAGAAATATAATTAAAAAAAATGTCTATAGATCAAATTAGAGTCTAATGAAATTAAAAAAACAACAACAAAAAACACATTTATTTTACAAAACAGAAATATTTTTCTAACATAATATCCTCCTTTGCCAATGCACTTAATTCATTGAGAAATATTAATCACAAAGCCAGAATATTATACAGTGAAAAGGAAAGAAAAATAAACAGCTAAAAATCATTTATTCAGATAAATATCCAGCTACATGTGTGGCTACGGACTTATTGATTCCTCCTATGTTAATATAGTGATAAGCTTGTAAAATCTATAATACTGATAATGCAGTCATATCAGGCATGCCACACAATATTTTAGCTAGTTTCTCCTTCAACTCAAGAAAAAGAAAGATCATATTGTTTTTAAACTTGTTTGGAAATTAGAAACTCCAAATGTGGAGTAGAAGTCGAAAAATAGTTCATATAATCTAATCCCACAAGCCTAGTATTAACAATCCTGTTTTTATTTTTGTGATTACATCCGTTTTATTTTCTTTTAGAGTTCCCTTTGTGCAATAGACAGGCATAAGTAGAATTAAAAAAAATGAAATCATCGCACTAAATCTTAAAATAGATTGACCTCAATAAATCAAGCGACACAAAATGTGTGGAGCAGGTGGAAATCAGATATTATGTTTTACAGATTTTTAATTCTATATTTTATTTGATTGATGCAGAAATATTGGCTTTTTAAAATTTGAATAACCTTAATGTCAGATCGTTTGAATATTATTATAGCAAAGTGAAACATCAAATCGGCAATGCTTTGATTAGGACCAAAATGGCAACCAAAGGAGTGACAGATGGTAATGGAAAGACATTAAGGACGTTCCAACGCACATGCGCACAAAATTCCGGCAGAATAATATTTTGGTAGGATAGATCAACGAGGGAGATGCTATGTATGATTTTCATCATGCTAAAATTTTACTGACTATAGGGAGGGGTTGGAGACGGTTGTGAGGCTATAGGAATTAAATCATATACATATTTTTCAACCAATGAAATCCCATCAGAGAGGGTTGTTGGATAAACAATAATTACAAGGGCAAATACCGCCCAAATAATTGCGGACGTAGTTGTAGACATACCATGTCTTATTTTTGGACCATTTAGAAAATAACAATAATAATAATAACCATAAACTCCCGAAAATTTTTTTAAAAGGTTTTTTTAAATTAAGTGCAAAATTATTATTCTAGCCACTGAAAGCCTTATACCAATAATACCAATTTTATAAACCAATAATTAATACTAATTTTCTAGAAAACAATAATTAACACCAATTTTCTAGAAATCAATATAAGCGATTTTTTATTTTAAAAACAAAAGATATTATTTTTTTTTTAAGATAATTATTAATACCGATTTTTTAAAAATCAATAATTAATAGATTTTTTTGGGGAAATCCGTAATGCAGAATTTTAGAAACCAATAATACAGATGTTTTTTTTAGAAATCAATAATACAGATGTTTTTTTTAGAAATTAATAATACAGGTGTTTTTTTAGGATCCAATAATACAGATGTTTTTACCAACCAATAATACAGGTGTTTTTTTAGAAACCAATAATACAGATGTTTTTAGAAACCAATAATACAGATGTTTTTAGAAACCAATAATACAGATGTTTTTTGAAACCAATAATACAGATGTTTTTTAGAAACCAATAATACAGGTGTTTTTTTTTAGAATATAATAAAGGTGTTTTCTTAGAAACCAATAATACAGGTGTTTTTTTTTAAACCAAAAATATATGTTTTTTTTACCAACCAAAAATTGAAAACCTTTTTTAGAAACCAATAATAAATTAGATGTTTTTTCGAAACCAATAATACAGATGTTTTTTTTCCAATAATACAGGTGTTTTTTTAGAATATAATAATACAGGTGTTTTCTTAGAAACCAATAATACAGGTGTTTTTTTAGAAACCAATAATACAGATGTTTTAGAAACCAATAACTAACATTGGGCTTTTAAAATAAATTCTAGTCTTTATAATTAATATAGATTTTTTTAATCTGGATATTAAAGCGCTAATATTCATCTACTGACACAAGATATTGGAAATTTAATAACTTACCCATTAGAAATCCCGTTCTGGTCTGATCTGAGACATTATTATCCATTCATTTTTAGAACCAAGGAAGAACGAGGATAAAGTGCCAATTCCTGATAGAATCATGAAAAACTATGAAGATGGCGTATGCAGCGGAGCCCTTTGAGATGTTTTCATGGCTTTTAAAATGGCAATCTTCTACTTCGTGATCGTGATGGTGATGGTTTAGTGATGTTTTTGACAAATAAAATTGCATAACAAGTCCAGTTCGGCACTAACGGATGACTCTAAAAAATACTGGTGTTGTGAGTGTTTACAAACTGACCAATGCTGTCCCATGCTGTTTCCGGTCGAACGAAATAGGCTGCGGCTTTTGCGATAAAGGTAGCTGTCAAAAAACAAAAAAGCAACAAGCCATGAAGCATCTAATGTGCCAATTCAAAGAAATTACTTTTAAGAACATTAACAAGAAGCCGATCTCGTTGCAACTTATAATGAAGCCGCTTTTTGAACTACGCAAGTGAAATTGTTTCTCCAAGACGGGAATTTGAGACGATATGTACATGGTAATCGCGTGGGAGAAGAGCGATGACAGGGAGCAGATGGCTGTGAAGACAGACAATTTGGCGCATATACGACAGCATTGAAGGTAGCAACCTCCGATTCCACAGCGTACCTCATCCAATGTGCTGGCAGTTCGAATGCGTTTCGAAGAATTGGCATTGTGGCTGGAGAGCATTGGTTCCTTGGTTTCTTTGAGCTTGTCTTTGCCTAAAGAATCACCTTCGTAAGACTTAAGCGACATCTCTACAAAGGCATCATCTTTATCTTTTGAAGGGTCCATGATTACTGGAAAAAATATAAAGAGAAAAAGGCCTTTTAAAGAAAGAGGCATTAGATCAGCGGTAAAATTTTCACCTGGGGTGGGGTGGTAGGGTATTTTTCCACACAAGGGGCCCTAAATTTTATGTGGACCACAGAATCATTTTTGGATTGGGTGGGGAACAATTTCAATGAATGTGTTCACAGTGCTACAAACCTGTTGGCCTCTATACTTGAGTTCTAATAAATTATTTAAAAATTTAAATATTTTAAATATTTAAATTACTTAATAAAATCATTTTCAAGTGTCTTTTTGTTACTAGTGTGCATTTATGTAAAATTTATGTGCAAAACTTTTTTTATTTTGTATAACTTTATTTTTTTTCGAGAGTAAAAGCTTGGCTCCAGGAATCGGAGAGCTGAGTTCGAATTCCAGTCGAGTACATTACATTCATTTACGTGCTAATACCCCTAGGAAAGGTATGAATTCATCTCTTCCCCCCAGCTATGGGTAAAATAGCAGGACAGATTGGGTCCTATAGCCTTGAGTGGCAACTGGTCTACGAGGAGGCCAACTCTGAATTCAAAATCGTATGCACCTTCATCCGATAGTGAGATTAAAAACAAACTCTTCAACTTTTCTTTTTTGGTGGGGGAGGGGTTAAAACAAGCAGTTTTGAAGTTTATAAGGAGAAATATCGCTGTTTATTTGTTTCGGGAATTGTCAAAATGAGCTTTTATTAAAAAGTAAACGGCTAGGAGGGGGGGTATAAAATTATCAATCAAAAGGGGGTCATGAATAGAAAAAGGTTGAGAACTACTTCATGAGATATTGAAGAGTATACACAAAACTAACCAAACGTGATTCTCGCCCCCGAAACCCCCCAAAAAAAAAAAACCCCAAAAAAATACAACAAAAAAACAAACAAAAAAAAAAACAACAAAACAAAACGAAAACAAGGTATGCAGGTATTTCAAATTAAAATTTGTACGGTGTGGACATTTTAGCCGACGTACATGCGTTTGTAGCTAGTATCTAAATAAAAGAATATTTTTTTAATATTTTAATTTCATTTTCTTTGCCATGTTATATGTTTTACTATGTTGATATCATTCCAAATTAAAATTTGTAGCCGATGTGCATGCTGTTTATCGCTGGATTATATAAAAAAGAAGTTTTTTTTTATATTTTAATTATATTTTCCTTATGTTATATATATATATATATATAATTATTTATTTAAAAATATGATTCCAACGCTACATAAGAGTTCTCATGTTTCAAAACAAGTGCCGAAAACTTCAATATAATTATTTGAATTGAATTGAAATAAAGTACCAAGCTCTGAAAAAAAAAATTCGCTTGAAGATGGAACATAGCTTGCTAATATCAAGAAATAAAATGCAAGACAAGAGTCCAGGAAAACAGGTAAACATTTTGAGCCAATCAAAAGCGAAATCAAATCGTGACGTTTTCATTGGACGGTCATTCGGAGAGTAATATTTAAAACGTGGAAAGTGGGATCAACGATCCGAGTTCAAGTCTCGTCCTGGCCTATGACGTTCATTTTCACACTAGTGCCCATGGGAAAGGCATAAGCACATCTCGTCACTCCCACCCCAGCTACGTGTTAAAAAGCAGAGTAGATTGTGCTCGCTAGCCTTGGGTGGCATCCAGTCTAGGAGAAGGACAATTTTGAATTCAGGACCGTGGAGAAGGAAACGGGGAAATTACTCCAGTATTTCTCCCCAGAAGTCATGGAATTTCATAGCTAATAATAAACGGAAGATGTGGAGAACCACGATCGCCTGAAAAGGGGATATTCACCGTATTGAAGGTACATGGTATGTAATTATAAAATATGTGCTAAATAGTAAGTAGACTAGCTTTGTCTAGCCTTGGGTGTAATCCAGTCTAGGAGAAGGACAATCCAGTCTATTCAAACCCGTGGAGAATGCTAGGGGAAACCATTTCACTATCTTTCCAAAGAAATCATCATAATTTAGACATAGGGCGCTTCTACGTGGTGTAATGGTTAGCGAGCTTGTCTTGCTAGAATAATTATGACTGTGTAGTGAGTTCGATCCTCACTGGGTACCCCATAATTTCAGCTTTGCGCCACATCCAAGCTCTGCTTTAGATATGCAATGTAATTGGCCCTGATCTGGCATCTCGTCTGCAGTCGGTTCTCTCACAGACGGATGCCGTCGCCTCCCTCTGTCTTTTTTAAAAATACTTTCACAGTAACTGCTCCGATGAGCTGCTTTCGCTGGTTCCCAGACTTCATGAATTTAGGCGTTCAACTATGTTGTCATCTCGTTCTCACCCTTTCACTGTGGAAACTGTTAAATGTAGCCTCTCTTCTATTCCAATAGCTTCATGTCTCACACCTCTCGCCTGTTGAACTCCCTCCCCTTTTCTTGTTTCCCTGATAGCTATAATCTCCAACTATTCAAATGTAATGTCAATCGACGTCTCCAGATGCCTTGATCTATCCCCTATCCTTCTCTTCATCCTTTCCTCTATCACTCCTATTTGGTCTCGCTCCAACTCTCTGTAACCCCTTGCGTGCTAGTGGCTTCCTGCCTTGCTTGGGGTGAAACGCTTAAAAAAAACAAAAAAAACGAACTCGTTCAATTTTGTAAATTGCTATTTTTATCATAAAACGAAAAATTTAAAAATAGAAAATCTAATCATAAACGTATGAATCATTAGAAGTTGAATATTTCCGAGGAATAAGTTTCCCTTTCTGAATATTCAACGAATGTTTTTAAAACTTTTCAATTTCTCAATGAATGGTTTAATAGGATTAGTCGAAAAATTTCAGGAAGTTATTTAAAAATTAATGATTCTTATTCGACCATATTTGAATGAACAATTTTTAATTCTAATCAAAGTCTGTATAATAAACAGGCCAATTTTAAATTTTTTCTTTTCTTTTTAAAATTTTTTTTAATAAATGTTCAAATGTTCAATTCAAACCAAGAGATCATCTATAAAAAAAAAATCAAACCAAAACAGTTCGGATTAACAAAATGGAATGAAACACAAGATTCGATAATCATAGCTAATTCTAGATAACAATAAATAAATTAAAATTATAACAAAGGTACAATTTTTATGGCAGGCGGAAAACGTTAAAATATAGATGTTATTTGAATATTTTCAGTCTATTTTTAGATTTTAAAGGCAGAAAACAATAATATATTTATTTTTTTTTTTATTCCTTTATTAGAATTTATTATAAAATTTAATCATCAAGTTCAATATGTTTTTGATTTTTAGAAAATCCATTCTTTCAGAATAATTTTTCAAAAAAAATTAAAAACAAACAAATTAAATCAATTTTTGAAGAATTAGAATTTTAGTTTTTCCATTTTGAATGGTTCTCTTATCTCTGGAAAATATTTCTTTTCAAAAATTTGTTTTTGTCTTTCTCTACTTTTTATTTAAAAAAAAAAAAAATTGCAACTTTAATCTATCGATTCATTTTTAGATTTTCGTTTTTAAAAGTTCTGTCTATTTTTTACTGCTCTTCTTTGATGTTTTATCGACAAAAAAAAATTGTGTTTTTTTTTTTTCAGACGCCTGACTTTTGATTTTCTCCTATTCTCTCGTATTTTAAATTTTTAACAGGGAATATAAACACTAGATTTTTTAGACGCATTTTTTCATTTTATTTTTTTTTTGCAAAATTGCAAAATTAAAGATTTTTTTGTCTGATGAATTATTTTTCTCTGATCTTAAATTTATGGTCTTTTATCTTTTCATAGTACATACTCTCTCTGATGTTGCGTTTTTTCCTACATTTTTTTGTCTGATTTTTTGTGAACTTTCTCAATCTCATAACGAAGGACGCCGTGAAGGTTCAAAAATTGATGCAAGATGTTTTTTTCGAAAGTTGTTTTTTTTTCTTCTCCATTCGCCTATAAATTTCTAAATTGTCTTTTCTCATTATTTCTGATTTTCTAGGATGTATAATTTTTCAATGTATCTATATATATAATATATATATATATAATATATATATCGATCATATATAAATCTATCGCCGAGAGTTGAAAAATGGAATGAAAATGTTATCCTTGTGTTTTAAAAGCCATAAATTCAAATGTTTTCTGAAATGTTGTAAATTAAGGATTTATTTAAATCAATTTTACGTATCTTCTGTGTTTTATATTTTATGCATATTTCCATCTAAATATGCAGAGTAAATGATAAAAAAGAATTTGTATTTTGTAAAATTATAACTTTATTTGTTTTTCTTCCAAAAATTATAAAAATTATATAAATTTAATGCATAGTTTTTGTATAGCTAAAATAAACAATGTGATATCAGGTATACTATAAATATATAAATTTATTTCAATTGCAAAAAATCATTCCCCTTTGGATTTGATAAAACATTTACCTAAACCTTTTTCCTATCATCTCATGAATATTGAAAAATGATTTAGGTTTTCTTTTTTTTCTTTGTTTTAATCTTTTACTTTAATTCTTCATTCATAAAGGAAAATAATGCTGGGTGATATTATTATTAAGCGTTTTTTTTATATTTTATTTTTTTTGTTATAATGTGTGTGTTACTTTCTATATTTAATTTTGTTCCGACGTTTAATAATTAAGTTTTATAATTTAATAACAAAAAACACAGATATTCAGTTTTTATTTTTTTTTCCTTAAAGAACTCTCTTGTTTTTCCCAGTTTGAACGGGCTACGCCGAAGATCGAAGTCTCTTTGCTTTCTCAGATTCTTCTGAAAATTTTCTACTGATATCAATATCATATTTTTTCATTTTTTGTTTAAATTTCGAGATCCCAAAGTAAAATTAAATTTGCATATTAGTTAAGAATTTTTTCCGGGTTCGTATGAATCGTCATTTTGATTCAGTTTCTTTTTTAAGTCGATGCCGGACGATTTAATTTTGATACGTTTTTGATAACAGATCCTAAAAAATATAAAATTGTTATATCAAATTCCTAAAAATTTGTAAAAACCTTTTTTTTTTTTTAGTATAAAAACCTA